CCATATGCGAGATGAGAGTGGTATAATTGTAAAAAGTAAATTTTATAAGTTAGATATGTAATTAAACAGGAATTCGGAGGTTTGTTTGTATCTGCCCCAATAAAATTTCAACTCCCACAAGTGTTAGACAAATAAAGATGTAACCAAAGGTATTGGAAATGATGGGCAACCGGCACTTCCCCTTCTCGTTTCTAAGCAAGAAAGTAACAGAGAAATAAGGATCGGCCATTCGAACCCTTCGATTTGCTTTAATATCTGTGCAAATATCATACAGCTTTTACGAAAGAACTAAAAAATCTAATGGCCCGTTCGGGCAGCTTATAAATACGGCCCGTTCGGGCAGCTTATAAATGCGGCGGCATTTTTGTGTTTTTAAAAATGCCGTCTAACTATTTGGCTTGCGCATTTTTGAAAATCTCGTCCGCCGCATTTGGGTTTCTTACATTAAACGCAGGCCGCGGGGAGTCGACCCGCGAGTTTATCCTGAAACGCAGAAGCTGCACCAAACAGACCCTAAATTCCGAGAAAATATTACATCAGGAACCCAAACACAGTTTGTGTTCGGAGTCAAATAGTGAGGCGTCACGTGTCAAGTACGCTCCACCGTTATACATTGGTATTGGTCAGTGTTAAAAATGATGGGACCTACTTGACACATGATACCCCACCATTAGACTCCGAATGTATTAGAAGTCTTGACTTAATATTTTTTTCCTAAATTCTCAAGGCAGAATGATTTATGACAATTTATGTAAGTTTATTTACTTCATATTTGAAATACCATTTCTTAATAACGGTTTTGGGCACGTTTTTTATTTCGTAGTGGTTTTGATGCTCCGCACATGGATTCGAGGAGTTCGCCGCGGTTCCGCAGACCTGTTACAGAGGCTTTTGTATTTTAATGAAAAAGTACTTTTTATTTAAATTGTAGGAATCTGGGACTTAATTTGATCAAATATATTATAAGTAATGATGCCATTTTGGTTGAATTTAATTTGATCCAATAATTATGAGTTAATCTTAAAAATAATGTTTGATTTTTGTTTGATCGTAATGTTTGATGTTTGTTCAATCGTTCTTCTTCAAGAAGAGAGGAATAGAGACGAAATTTCATTATTGTTGAGAAAATTACGGCGAAGAAAAACAATAACGGCACAAATTCAGAAGAACACAGAGATTTAACGAGGTTCAGCAAAGATGCCTACATCATCGGGAGCAGAGCGGCGAGTTCTTTTTAATATTCAGAAAAGAGGATACAGAATAGAGGATGTCTACTAAGGTTACTAACGAACCTATTTATAACCCCAGGAGTAAACCCTAAGCATAATATGTAATCAAAGCATTACCCAGAGGATACATAATAGAGGATACCTACTGAGGTTACTAACAAACCTATTTATAACCCTAGGAGTAAACCCTAAGCATAATATGTAATCACAACATTACCCTTGTACCATATCGTGGGGCTTTGTCCCCGCACCCCAACCCACGTAACTTCTCAATTTGGACAGATTCATCCGCACCGTTTCGATCTAGAGTCTGTCCCTATATGATATACGAGTCATATCATAACAATTATAATTATAATTTTTATGGAAATGCATTAGCTTTATTGGTGATTATACGTATCGCACTTATTAGCAACGACAATGAAATCAATGATTATTGATATTGGGGTTTACAAATTTATGTTAAATTTACAAGTGATGGCTTACATTAAAGAACATGCATCAAATTTATAAGTACTGGCAAGCATCAAAAGCTTTGTTAATCGTATAGGTGATGTTGGAAGACAAAGTCATAGGGTGTCTGCTTAGTCAAATGAAAATGGTGGAGAGAGATTAGAGTTATTATAATAAAGATATCATAGTCAGATGATGATGATCGGAAGCTTATAATTGATTCTAGTTGAGTAAAAATGATCAATATAACGTAACTCATTGAAAGTAGTTACAGAATCATAGTTGAGAGATCATAATTGAGGATTTCGAGAAAAAAAAACTAAACAAATCATTTCATTTTCTAGGATTTTGACACCAAAGTGTTATAAATAAAAATATGTCAATTTAAGTATTTGATATGCAAATACATAAGGATCAAGTGATATTTATGCAAATTTCTCTTAAATTATGCTTGCAACATCATCTCGGACGAAATAAATTTGACCTTAAATTTTGGATATTCCCAAAAAATAGTAAAAATAATGAATTTCTTTTTGCATAAAAAACTTGTATACGAAAAATAACATAGTTTTGTCGCTTTGAAAAGTCTTTGTCAGCTTAAATTGTGCTTATAATTGGATGTCTTTTCCCTTAACTAAAAGATGTTACTATAATATAGAAACCAAATTCAGGAAGAAAACCTCATGTTCATAGTGGAGGAAATAATTTAATGATGTTGATGCTTGCTCTTCCTCCGAAATAAAAAAGTAATGGATTGACAATCCAAAACGAGAAGCAAGCAAAAGAAGACATTTAGAGAGTCATCTAAGTTGTTATAAGCTCTCAAAACTCAAGAATTCTCAATAATTTTGATGTATGAAATATAAAAGATTAAGTGGAGTTAGCATCTATTTAAAGTTTTAAATAGATTACTCATGTTCTTATCCAAAATTATACCAAGAAAAGTTGGTTATTTTTATCAATAATGAACACATTAATAATCAAACCATGGCATTTCAAATAAAAAAGTGTTTAAAATTGTTGTATGCCAAATTCACGAGAGTTTGTATTTATTTTGGAGTACAATGAAAAGCCTCACAATCTCCAAATTTGTCATGTGATATGCCTATATGTATTCACTATAAGAAAATTTCCAAATATATAGAAATATATTTATATGCTTCAATAATTTTGAATTAGTTGAATAGACACAAATGTTAATATTTTTTAAGTTGAACGATAGCGGACAACCATCTAATATTATCATATTAATAGATCTAGAGTTTCCCAAGTAAAGGCTCTTCTCTTCTTATCCAACATCACTGTATCCTTTTAAAGTGAATTGTTAGTGGTATGTTACTTTGTCGAAACTGTTTATATCGCAAATAATTCACTCTCAAATAATAGTCATAGAATTCTTATATTTTTTCTCTATAAACTTATACATATTATTTCTTACTTTTGTTGGAGTTCTCTTTCCTTTGTACCCATTTTTAAAACCAAACTACAATCATCATGAAAAATGCTCAAAAAAATTCATAGCTTTACTGCCCTTGGATTGAAAGGAATTGTTTGTTAGTTTTGTTGGGAGCAATGTCTTTTCTTATAATCTTCCCATCATGATGGTGTTACACAATATCAGTATTGAGAAGTCAAGCTACACTTCAAATTTTTTTATGACTTTTTTTAAACAATGCTATATTAAAACTTTTAGTGGGAGTTTTACCCTTCTTTATTCATTTATTTTGTACTTATACTTAGAATTTTTTTTCTTAAAAAAAATATTATCAATTTATGTTGACATTTAAATTCCTAATCAAGTTGTGTTCTCATGTGGAGTATAGAGCGACTGCCTACGATTTCTAATTGTGAGGAACTTAAATCTCTAGTCAAGCTTGAAGAAGGTCCCATAGAATTAGACTTGCCATTATCTAAGAAGTTAGTTCATTGAACTTGATCTTTCAAAAGAAAATGGCGCCTCATATAGTTATCTAAGGCTTGATGGTTTCTTGCTCAAGGAATTACATTGCTTTTCGCTTAGCAACCTTCTTTACAATTTCTTTCATTATAATGGCATTTGTAGTGGAAATATTTTGGCTTCACGATAGCATCAATTTCTTTGATTGTCATTATGTAAACATAAATCAAACTCTGGAATTTCTTAGATTAAAATCTCTCTAAATAAAAAGGGCTGTCTTACTACATAGCCAAATATAGTGAGCTCATTAATATATATATATATATTATAATTATTCTAAACTGTTAACACTTTAGAATTACACTCAATCAACCTTTAAAAATAATTGGTCAGAAGTTATTAATAGTGTTATTTTTTATGTTATAATAAAAGAATTGAATGTTATAAATGTAAGACTTGAAGTTCAATGATATATTTATAAAAACATAAATATTATTCGGTATTTATTTAAATGGCAAAAAATAGAAAGATTTACATACATACGACTCAATTCCTAAATATATTTGTATATATAGCACCTAAACTTTAGCTGGCACATACATTCCAATTCATTTGTTATTCATAAAATATTTATTTCACATTTTTAAAAAGTTAAGTAGACGGTATGTGATATGAAGGATGGGGCTGTCAAAATGGCTCGTTGTTCGCGAACAGCTCGTGTTCGGCTCGTTCGCTAAGTTAACGAGCAGAACACGAACAACACGAACAAAGATTTGTCCGTTCGTGTTCAGCTCGTTTTGACTCCAAATACTAATATATATATATATATATATATATATATTGCCTCCCACAAAGCACTTGGTTTAATGTCATCAGCCCGACGTACCAATGTTTATTAAAGATGACTCAACCTCAAAATTTCTTTAAATTATGGCATGCACCCTTCATAATAATGTTTCAATCGATGCCCATTAACTTTAAATATCTTTCTAGTTTTAGGATCTTTAACAATAAGAGTTCCATAATGGTAGACTTTGATAATTTTTGGCTACATGACTAAGGTTGTCAAAACGACTCTTTGTTCTTGAACGGCTCATGTTCGGCTTGATAAGCAAACGAGTCGAACACGAACACACTTTTTGAGCTTGAAATATAAACGATCCGAACACAAGCTGAGCCTATGCTCGTTCGAGTTCGGCTCATTTACGCCCCTAATGAAGGATTTCAGCAGTATAAATGTAGAGAAAGTAAAATTTATGTGTTAGAAAGTAAATACATTGGAATTAAGCCATATGTAAATAATAATAATAATAATAAATTAACTTAACAACATTGCGCATTTAGAAAAGAGCTTGCCCATTTCTGTCAATTCCCACGGATGCCCTTCCACGGTCAGCTTTTTTACAGCCCTTCGCCCTTATTTGCTCTTTATAACCCTCCCACTTCTTTCGATCTCCACTACCACCTCTGAATCATAGCCCTAGGTTTCGCTCTCCTCTCATAAAAAGCACCAGCAGTCGGCCATGGAGGACATCGAGGCGGGCTTTCCTGGCTGCTCCGCTACCACTGCCTCCCCACCCATCCCTCGACGGCCAACCTACCGATCTCTTTCGCATCCAGCTACAACCACTTTCTTCTACGAAGACCTCTCCGATGACGAGCCTCGCCACTTTCTCGACTCTTGCTTCCTCTGCAAGAGGCCCCTCTCGCGCAACCTCGACATCTTCATGTACAGGTCGTTAACCACTTCATAGCTCGAATTGGTTCATTGTTTTATTATTTTGGGGCTGGGAATCGGGATCTGAAAGGGGGTTGGATGAATTGGTTGCAGGGGTGACACGCCGTTCTGTAGCGAGGTGTGCCGTGAGGAGCAGATTGAGATGGATGAGGCGAGGGAGAAAAGCTGGAAGATCTCCGTAAAGAAAGAGAAGCAGAAAAATTCAAATTCTTCAAGCTCGCCTAATTCGCGGACGATTCACGTTCGCGCCGGCGCCGTTGTCGCCGGCTGAGCTCCGGTAAGGCCGTAAGAGAACTTATAGGTCTAAGAGATGGAGAACAGAAAGGGCTCTTTCTTGGGATTCAGATCGGATCTTGAGAATTTTTTTTTTCTTAAATTTCCGAAGGGAAACGAAGTACGAGCGCAGCGCTTTGACGGGGTGTGGTCTGTAAATTTTGCGAAGCTAATATAATTTAATGTGGTTTTTGTGCTTCATCTTCGCTTTTTTTTTTTCTTACGATGGTTTTTCAATGGCTGGTTGGCATCGTAAATTTTGCATTTGGGGGGAAAGTGTTTGGAGGTTCGTTGTGGTAATATCTAAATAATCGGTTTATATCTGAGGAGAAATATTTGCCTCCATAACAAATATGCAGAGCTGCCTATATCTAGTGGTTACAGTAGTGAAGGTATTGGAGGTTATATCCGTGTTATATCTCTTATAATCTCCTATAATTTCTCTATAACTTATTAATAACATATTTATCACTTGGAAATATATAAAAATAAAAATATGAAATTTACTAGTCAGATAAATTAGGGTGAAATTACAGAAGGTACAGCACGGAAATAACTCTCAATACATGTAACCAATCTTACCCACGCAGCGCAATTTCTAGAAAAGATGGGGAAAACAGGAAGCTGAGTGGAAGGTATCGAGGATTCTAGCTGTCCTCAATTTTTATGCGAGAGAACAGTAGGCTACTGAGTGATGCCGCGTGGACCGGTTCTTTCTTTATTAGGTGAAAACTTTAGCAGCTTATTCGTTACAGAAATGAAACTTACAACCTTTGCGTCATAAAAAATTATCAAATTATTATTGAATTGCGATATATATATATATA